GAAGCCATCTCCAGAGGCAACGAGGGAGACGGGCAACGGGTATTTATCCCTTCTCCATATGATCGCGGCACTCCTTTTCCTGTCGGAAAACCAATACTGATGATCTGGAACGCGATATGGTTCGGCTACTATCGCCAGTCCTGCATCTTGAGCAATCATGACTTGAGCTAGCAGGTCCTGCGCCGTCCTTGCATGATTTAAATTAACTTGTAACACTGTATTAGACATTGTTCGTTTCGTGTTCTAAGTTTCCTTCCCGTGAAGTTTGCCAATCTGTAGTGCCGTTCTCTTCCGAAACAGGCCAGTCCGTTGGTAAATGCAAATATTCATTATCCCAGAAGACTCGCGCATCTCAATGTCATTGATAGCAGATGCTTGCAGTTCTGTGGCTGCCACGTGACCCTCAGTCACTGCCGTCCTATGATCTTTATCGCTATTCCGATTATTGTTGTTGTTACTCTCGGCCAGTCTCTTCGGAGTTTCACCAGAAGTATCGGATCCACCTGTTGTTTTAACATCTGTTATAGTTGATCTAGTCCTAGTTCCACTGTTCCTCGTGTCACGCTGAGGTTTCTTTTTCGTCGGGTCGCATGAGGGGCCCCCCATTCGATGAATGAAGGGCGCTCCGCGCTCCTCACAGACTATACATCTGACCTCGTTAGGGCAGAAAAGGACCATATGGTCCTCTCTCCCACATCGATAGCATAAAGAGCTCCTATCTTTCGAGCTCTTTTACTCTGCCCTCACGTGGCCAAATTCCCAGCATTTGTGGCATTGAAGCCGTCTGATAGGCAGAGGAACTATTTTGGCGGATGACCATCCTATCAATATCTTCTTCAAGTCAATAAGTTTGTTCGCTGCTACCATAGGGCATTTAATAGTAGTGGAGCCCATTCTGTTTCTTGCTTGTCTGATAGGTCCTATCCTAACATCAGCCGAGTTGTATTCCGTTAATGAAGCGACGACAGTAATGATGTCCATAGATGTGACTGCGTCATCAAGTCCTTATCTCCGTGTACTTGGAAGTACTCTAGAGATTTTAATCTCCTCGTTTGATTGAAATACTTCTTCCAATTTACACGCTAGTTCATCCGCTTTCAATTCGTTGTCTTGTCCGGATATCTTCAATAATAGCGCGCCCGTCTTGGCTCTTCTGGGTTTGATATCAGTTATACCCAAGTCTCCGATGCTGATTTTGGATTTTGCCAAACGCAGAGTGTCCGCATATGACACACCTTCCGCGCCTTCCGCCACTGTGATTTGAACCGCGGCTGATTTTGGCGGCTTCTTTTTCATTCCTGAGACCGTCTGTGTCTGACTCTTCTTTTGTTGAGAGGACCTGCCTTGTTGACTGTTAATATGCTTTTCCTTTCTTTTAGCTTTCCGGCCGATCACAGTTGACCAGGAGACTTTATCCACCTGTTGGGAATGCTGCCTGTATGTCGAACCTTCACCCACAGTAGTATCGCCTTTTCCCTGGGAACCATGTAAGGGTATGGAAATATTTCCGCTCCCTCGATTCCTGTTCTCCGACTTGTCTCTGTTTCTAGGCATAACAGAGCGACTCGAGGCGCGAGCTTTACCTGAGGTAGATCTTATTCGCACTCGCGACTCCCTTTGTAAGCCCAGCTCTTCCCTTATCACTTCGCGAATCATCTTCTTGATATCGTGATCAGGGTCCGCTCTCTTATTCCCTTCTTTAATATTTTTCTATTCTCCTGGGGTTTGGATCCAGAGACCGTATCGACCGAGCAGATTCGTCCGTCCAGAATTTCAATTCTCTGTCCTTCATTCAGAATAACATCCCTGATAATAGAGAGTTTCTGTCTAACTTTAGGTAAGTTGGTCAGGGGAGGCCACTCTTCCCTAGGGGGAAGAACAACTTTCTCCTGCGTCACCTCTTCGTCTAGCTCCATTCTGTCACTGGTGTCGTGATAAGACGTTGTAGGCACCGGTTTGACACCTGAGCGTAAAGACTTTTTCCGTCTAAGAGATTCATCAAGATCCTTCGGATTCTGGCACGTGCTCGGAACTTGGGCCGATTTGCCCGCAGCCATCGATGACTTAACTTTCTCAAGCTCTCTTCTTAGATGGAGAAGTTCCTTTTCCAGAGTCGTAGATTTTTCCTCTGCTCGTTTGGTCTTAGCCCTCTCTAATTCGAGTTCCAATATCAACCTCGATTTTAACTCGTCGATCTCTCTTTTCAAAAACGAAATTTCATCCGAGTTTGCATCATCTCTCGGTTTTTCCGCTCTTTCATGTAAGGTCTGCAGGTCCACCATGGTGGACTGCGCGATGATCTGCAGCGTTCCAACGTACGTGCCTTTGAGATTACCGGAGGACCGGGCAATCCTAATAACCTCCATGAGTCTTTCCAAAGCAGTCTCTCTAATCTCAGCACTTGGACGAGTAGATGACTCTTCTTGATATTTTTCAAGGTTTTTCTTCTTCTTGCTACCTGCGGGGACCTCTTTTAGGAGACCGAAGTTAGTCATGTCCCTAATTACTCCTTCTCTTTTTAGCTGTAACCTTTTCTCCTCCTCTTGATTTGCCAGGAGCATAGCCTGACGTCTAGAGATGTAGTCCTCCGCTGACAATGTTCTCGAACCGTCCTGAGAGGATCCCGCGCTGGAACCCACACGCTGTGAACCGTCTTTCTTATTCCCTTTCTTCTTGGCAGCCTTGGATTGCTGTACTAGTGAGAATTTTCCAGGTGGTTCACAGAGATTGTCCTCCCCATCGTCTGAGGATATAAGAATTCTCTTTTGCGAATCCATGGTTTTCCTCCTAGAGGAAACCTTAGATTTACTCTTAAGGCCTGATTTTCTGAAAAAACTGCCATTATCCTCACTCGGAGAGTAATCCGTGAGGCTATGAATGTCTTCCTCCACCTGGGACATAGAGTCCGCCCGCTTCTGTGTGTCCACCTTCTTTCGTGTGGATTTTCCACTCGCCGGTGAACCTACCTCTAAGCTTTGGGCCTTAGGGGCCTCCAACTCTTCATCTTTATCCAAGGCACCGCCCCTCAGACGGAGCACTGGCTCAAAACTCTTCTCGAACCCGTTCCCCGGGTTCTGAGGCTTCGTAGGCGCATTAAATTTACTTAGCACCCCTGCGGAGCAGGTGCTAAGCAGCCCATCGCTGGATGACGACCCAGGGGGGGCTGGGACGATACCCCCTACAGTGCCGGCGCTCTGCATCCGAGACAGAGCATTTGTAACGTTCTTTGTAGACATTCTAGTCATATTGAAAATTTGGTGGACTATTTTACAAGCGGTCCACCAGCGCCGGGTTACGTTTTCCTTCGTGTTTCCATCCTTGACCGATATTCGTCAGAAACCAGCCTGTATTCAGGCATTGTGGCGAGGTGATGGAAATAATCCTCGCGACTCTCCTCTCCTCCTCTGCATTGCTTATATCCAGATGACCGTGATCTTCCTTAGTTAGGAGGGGCACCGAAGTGGACCCGCAGCGCGGGGGACTTCGGGGTCTTTCCCTTCCCTCATATATTCCCTTAGCCTACCTGGAGGGATTCCAGAGTGGACCCGGAAACTCGGGGGACTCTGGCGTCCTTCCTCTTCTTCTTCCTCCTCCGGTCACAAGTCCGTCCATGCGTAAGTCATGCTGTCCTGTCCGTAGATCAGTCCCGTCAGTCCGTCCTGTCCACCGCCCCGCGATCCCAGCTCCGGCCAGGCCGGCAGCCGACGCACGCGGGGCCCAGGCATGAAGCCCGTCTAGCCTGAGGCACGGGTCCGCCGACAGTTGCAGCTGACGACCCCCCGCACCCCAGGCGTCGGTGGGATGACCGAGGCCATCCCCCGACCATCGTGCAATGAGGGGGGGCCAACCACGACCTCTTCTCTCCATCCCGTGGCATGGGGACCGTCCGCGGCCAGGAGCACCCAGCCGCGGAAGTCCCCGCCTGAGGGAGCACCCTCGTCGCTTGTTGCCGCCCTCTCGCGCCGCCGAGACCACCCCGCCCCCAACGGGGCGGACGAGGGCTCCACAGCGCGGGGGGACGGAGGTCAGCGATTGACCTCCACCCCTCCAGGGCAGGGAATCATTATCCCCCTATCAGAGCCTGGCCACCGGGCGTTTGAAGTCGGAGTCGCTTTCTCCTACCGGCACATTGGGGACAAGTCCTACCAGCGGACAAGTCCCCCAGTGAAGGGACCGCGCCAGCGCGTTCTCCCATCACCTTGGGGTGCCGGACCCCGCGTACAGAGTCTTCCTATTTAACGGAGAACTCCGTACTCTTTTTTTCGTGAGAAAATGCATTACGCATACCCTCGCGCCCCCGGGGAGAGGCGAGGGGTTATGTGGGACTCTCCACCGGCCCGAAGGGCCGGTGGCCTACCCACTAAAACCTAACGGGTGTCCTACCACGGGCGCTACTCGGGACAGGGGGGGGGACAAGACACGGTACTCTCCCCCCTGCCCGACGCCTAACCCTCCGAAGAGGATTTCTACCTAACTTTGTGGCGGGAGGGGACACCAGTTCCTCCCGCCACCCACCCCTCAACTCGTGTATGAAGGGACGAGAAGTCACCCGCTTCTCGCCCTCACGAGGTGAGAGGTCCAGGGGTGGGGGTGCCGCTCCCGCGGCCCCCAAAGGGAGCCAAGCCACGGAAGCGACACCCCACCCCCGTCCTTCATCCGTCCATGTCTGGGTCTTCCCTAGGATCCAAGAAGGATCCTAGGAGTTAAAAAATCTGTTTTCCCCCAGGATGTTCCCAATCCCGGACTCCCAATCCAAGGATTGTTTGTCCGAGAGAAGGGGTGGCCCCCCTCCTGGGGAGGAGTACGTCTAGTCCGTAAAATGGTAAGTCCAACTCTAGTCCAAATCAATTAATTAATTCTAGTCCAGATCTAGTCATTTGTTCCAGTCTAGTCTCTTCTCACTCTTTTTCTTTTTCTTCGTCTCCTGCTGCCATTGATTCCGGAGATTTCTTCCGCGTTACTTTCGTCGGTTGAATGTTGACGTCGTCGTGATGAGGCTATCATTTGATTGCGCTCTCTCTCTCTTTCTCTTCCTTTACAGACATGACTTTGTCACCAAAGCAGAGAAAAGCCGATCTTTTCTCCTTTTCGAGGAGGGCCATTATCAAGGTCGGTATGGACAGATCGTTTCCGACTATGGCCTTAAGTTCTGCTCTTTCTCGATCCCACGCAGGGCATTCACAAAGAGTGTGATCCGCGCTGTCTAGTCGATCTGGACAGAACCAGCAAGCGCTAGATGTTTCCTTCCTGATTCTGTACAAGTATTGGCCAAAGCAGCCATGACCTGTGAGAAGTTGTGTGGCATGATATGATAGGCCAATCTTCTCATTCATCCATTGTCCTAATACCGGTCTTATTGCCTGACCAACTTGGCCTCCAGCGTGTCCTGGTCGATTTGTCCAGTCTTTCCATGCCCGAAGCATGTTTCTTTTGGCCTTGAGTCGTACCTTGTTCATAATATTTGGAGGAATCTCCTTCATTCCACCTGCACGCAGATCTTTCACATCTTCATACACTTCCGTGTACATTGCGGCTCTAATGATGAAGGGAGTACTGCCGGCCAGTAACGTAGCTGTATACAGGCTGACAGTTCTGTAGCCTCTGATAACTCGGCATGCGATGCGTCTCTGTACTCTATCTAGAATCCGTAGAATGGTCTTATTACGCTCCACTTGGTTGATCCATGTTGGTGCCGCATATAGCGCGATCGAATCGACGACCGTAGAGTGTAATCTTCTTACTAAGGAGCTCGGTCCACCAATATTTGGTAGTATGCGACTCAATTTATTCACCGTCTTAGTGAGTCTTTCTCCGATCATTTGAAAGTGTTTAACAAAAGACCACCGACTATCAACGATCACTCCCAGGTATTTGAGGTGATCCGCGATAGGGATCTCTACCCCGTCAATGGAGATCATCATATTTTGGGGAGGTTTCCCTCGTCTGCTTCCCCGGAAGTGGATAGCCTAAGACTTTTGTGCAGAGATCTCTAGGCCCAACTCCTTAATGTGTAGGATCACGCTACGTATAGCCTCGTTGACGCTGAGAAGAGCAGCCTGCCAATTTTCTCCACCTGCCACTATAAATGTGTCATCCGCATACGAAATTATCTGACTGTCAGTTGGCAGATCGACCTTTCTCTGAACTTGGTTGTACCCAATGGTCCACAATAAAGGACCAAGTATAGATCCTTGGGGTACTTCTCGTTCTATCTTCCTAATTCGAGTGGATCCCTCGCCATCCAAATAGGAAATATACCGTTCCGATAAATAAGAACGGATAATCCGGCGTAAGTACACGGGCACTCTGAGGTCAGACAAAGCCTGACCTATAGTGTCCCACGGGAGGGAGTTAAAGGCATTGGAAATGTCAATGGATACCCCCAATACCACTCCCCCCGTGGAATCTATGTATTCGTTCACAAAGCCCTTTTTTTTTTTTGGTAAGGCGGGAGAAATGCATTTACTCATACCTGGCCGGGACAGGAATCCCAACCGGGTTATGTGGGACTCACCGGCTAAGCCGGTACTACCCACTAAAACTCCCGCCGGTGTCCATCCTCGTGCCATATTGGGGACGCCCTGGGCACGCCTTTCGGCACTCTTCCAGGACGCCCCCTGGCCCAACGACTTGCGCCGTCGCTCTACGAAATCCGGAGTCCCCCCTTAGGGAGGCTCCGGAGATTTCACCTCCGGTCGAGGGGGGACACCGCCCCTTGACCGGCGACCACGTGGGGGAGTACTGACCGGGAGCGGGGTTCCTGCCCCACTCCCAACTCCCCCTACCTCCCGACCAGAGGATCGTGCCGCCTACAGGGGGACACCCGTGCTCCCGCGAAGCGGGAGCACCCGCGTTCTCCGGCTTAGCGTCACCGGCCTCTGCCGGCAGCGCGACCCCTGGTCCTCCCTCTAACGCCTCTCAGAGGGCGCCGGCCACGGCCTCTGCCGGCGGCGCGACCCCGGGTCCTTCCTCCTCCGCCTCTGCGTGGGCGCCTGCTCCGGCCACCGCCCGGCCCGGCGCCCACAGCGGGATCGTCCCCGTCCTCCGGCGGACGGGGGACGATCCCCTCCCGGGCACGCTCGGTCTCCTCCTTCGCGAGCATCACCTGCCCGCAGAAGGAGGAGACCGCTTCCCAATTCCCGGCGCTCCCCAGCATGGCTCGAACCACGCTAGGGAGCGCCAGGTCCTCCCCGACGACGTCTTTCATGACACCGCGCTGCACCTCCCACGCTGGACACTCTTCCAGGGTGTGCTGCGCGGTGTCCTCGGCCGACCCGCAATGGTGGCACCGGGGGTCCGGAGCCTTCCCTATTCGACACAGGAACTCACCGAAACACCCGTGTCCGGTGAGCACCTGCGTCAGTCTAAAAGACAGACGGCCGTGCCGTCGGTCAGCGCACTCTTGTGCGAGCGGGCCGACCGACTGAACGACCCTTTTGCTCGCCAAGACGGGATCCCGGAGCAGACTCTCCGTCCACTCCTGGAAGACCCCGTCCCTTATGGCGGCCCTCCTCGCTCCGGCCAGGTGCGGGGGGATCGGCGGCAGGCCCTCGTGCCTGTCCGCCGTCACCTCCCTGTGCATCCTGGTCCTTCCCATGGCGAGGAGCTCCGCCGGCGGAAGCCCTGCCAGAAGCGTGGCGGCTGCGAACGACACCGTCCTGTACCCGCGGACGACGCGGATACACAGCCGCCGCTGCACCCTGTGCATCAATCCCAGGATGCGGCGGCTGCGCACCGCTATGTCCGCCCACAGGGGGGCCCCGTATAGGAGCCCCGCCAGGACGGTGTACGCATAGAGCCTCCGCAACGAGCCGTTCGGACCGTTCAGGTTGGGCATAATCCCAACCAGCGCTTCCGTCTGTCTCCCCAGGCGGTGGCTGAGCCGAGCGAAGTGCTCGGCAAAGCCCCACCGGCCGTCGAGGACTAGACCGAGATACTTCATCTCGGTCCCGACCTCGACGGCCGTACCGCCCACTGTGATCCTGGCCGGAGGCGGCGCCCCCAGACACCCGTCATGAAAGAACATGGCCTCTGTTTTCTGGGGCGCCTCCTCCAGCCCTAACCCTCCTATAGCCCGGACTACTCCGGCCACCGCGAGATCGGCCCTTTTTCGGGCCGACTCCCAGCTGTCCCCGCCGGCCACCACCAGCGTGTCGTCAGCGTAACACACCAGGCGGCAGCCAACGTGGAGCGCCCGCACCACCACATCCCACGGGAGGGTGTTGAAGGCGTTGACGATGTCCAAGGACACCGCCAACGCCACACCCCCCTCGACTACCACGGCCTCCACGAGGCAGCGGACCTGACGCAGCGCGTCGTCGGTCGAACGCCCCTCGCGGAAGCCGTACTGGCCCGGCGACAAGTCCGGGCCAGTCCGCGCCAGGTGCTCAACGACGCGGCCCGCTATCACCCTCTCGAACAGCTTGGCCACGTCGTTGAGCAAGCATATCGGCCGATAGGCCGACGGGCTCTCCACGGGACGGCCCTCCTTCCGCAGGAGGACTATGTGCGCCGTCTTCCACTCAGCGGGGAATCGGCCCTGTCTGAGGCAGAGGCTGAAGAAATCTTTCAGCCTCCGCCCCAGCGCCCCCATCGCAACGGCCCAGGCACGGCCAGGGACCCCGTCGGGTCCCGGCGCCTTCGGGCGGCCCCGAAGTCTTCGCGCCACCAGCGCCAGCTCTCCCTCCGTGACGTCGGCCACCGCACCCGGCCAGTCCTCCGGCGGACCGGAGTACGGTGGGACGTCCCCGACCACTGTCGGGAACAGAGTCTCCACCACCCGGGCGAGGAGGCCGACGTCCAGCATCTCCGTCAGGGGGAGGGGGGTCCACGGCTGGAGCCTGCGCCGCACCAGCTTGTAGGCCCCCTCCCCACGGGTCCTCCTCCAAGGCTGCCACCATCTCCGACCATGCCTGGGCCTTCGCCTTCCTTATGGAGATTCTGAGGGCCGCCCTGGCTGAGCGCAGGGCATCCCTCAGAACCTCCAGCTCTCCCTCGGCGTCCCTCCTCCGCAACCCGCGGAGAAGGGCACGCCGAGCGGAGATGGTGGACCTTCGGAGCTCGGCGAGCTCCTCGGTCCACCAGTACGCGGAGCGGCGAATGGACGGGCGACTGCGAGGCATCGCGATATCGCACGCCTGGCGCATTGCCCGTCCCAGCCACTCCGCGCCCTCTTCCACCCCCGCTGGAGCCCGCCGGGGCCGAACCGTCGACCCAGACAAGGGCCTCGAGCGCGGCAGCCAGCTTGTCGCCGTCCAGAGCGCGGACCTTCCAGCGAGGGCGCCCGTCCTCCCCCCTCCTCCTCCCGCCTCCACGTGGGGGGAAGAGGGGGCACAGGTGACGGACGGACCCCGACGGCCATCTGGATCAGGCAGTGATCCGTCTGTTCCCCCAGGGCGCCAGGTCGTACCCTCCATCCCCTGACTCTATTCCGGATGGCAGGGGAGGCCCACGTCAAGTCGACGATGGACTTCCCCCCTGCCACCCCTGAAAGTGGGGTGACGTCCCTGGTTGAGGAGGCAGAGGTCCAGGCTATTCACCCACTCCTCCACCTCCTCACCCACCTCATTTGTTCGGGGGGAACCCCACGCGCACGAGTGCGCGTTGAAGTCCCCCCCGACTATCCAGGGGCGCCGGGGGAATCTGCGCAGGCAGTCCCCCATGCGCCCCAGTGCCACCTCGTACTCGGCCAAACGCAGGCCGAGCACGAGGTAGCACGCCATTACATGGACGTCACTCCACTCAACCGCGACGAATCCCCGCCCCGCCTCCAAAAGAGACATGGGCGGGGACCCGCCGCCGCGACTCCAGATGATCGCCGCCAACCCACCTCGGTCGGCCGCCCAATGCAGGTGGTCTTCCGGGATGTAGTATGGGTCGGCGACGATCCCCAGCCCCGCCCCACTCTCCGCCAGGCACTGGCGAAACATCGCCAGGCCCGCCGAAGAGTGGGCCAAATTGGCCTGAAGAAGAGGGACTTCTCCTGCCATTAAAGGGCTATGAGGAGCGCCTCCTCCGCGGGCTCTTCCTCGTGGGCGACCTCCATGGCCTCCGTCCTGTCGGAGGCCACGGAGGGCGCCCTAACTTGCGGCGCAGCCGACGGGACGGACTCTACGTCCATCCCCTCGGCCGCGCCACACGCGCTCGCCTTCGACGTGGTAAGGGCGGAGGGGGGCCGCACCGCGGCCGAACCCACGCCCCCACCACCCTTCTTCTTTCTCGCCGCTCCCTTTCCTGCCGCCTTGCAGGAGGGGAGCGACCCAATCCTGTGCGCCGCGGACTGGCCCGACTCGGCGCAGGCCGGGCACCGCAGGGGCTCCACACACGAGCCCGCGAGGTGCCCGGAGGCCCCGCACCTGTAGCAGGCGCCGGACCTGTCCACAGCGCCGATGCGTTCACAAAGCCCTGAAAAAACCTAACCTAACCTGACCCAACCTAACCTTATATAATCGAACAAATTTATACAGACATTAATCAATTTGTTACTTTTCTCGTATTATTGGTTCGTTTTCATCTTTAGTACAGAAATTCGAATTTATTACCTCTAATTTAAGTATTGATTTGCTCAATATTAAGGCTATAGCAGTGAACCGGCTATTCAAAGGTCGTGGGTTCGACTCCTGCTCAGGGCTGAAGATCACATTTCCCATTTTTGATTTCCAATGTTTTCGTCTTGCATGATTTTTAATTCAGTAATTTAGTTTTAAAAGGTTTAGTATAGGCAAAAAAGTAGTTTATTAAAAAATAGTTTTAACAGAGGCTCTTTTTAAAGCGTAGAAAACGCAAATCTCGCATTTCATGAAAATAATTAATATTTTCTAAATTTTTAATTAAATTGACCGTTATACGCCAAAAAATTAATTACTTGGATAGGTATTAAGGATATACTGTTTTTTATCTTTGATGTTTTTACTTATTACTG